TCCGGTTCCACCTGCTCTGGAGTCCCCTGCTCCGCATGCGGCCAGCGACCTGTTTCCATGAGCACCAGTGAAGCCAGCCACCCCTTCTCCAAGGAAGGTTTTTAAACACGTGAAATAAAATTTATAGAGTTACAAAGGAAACTGCTTATTTTCAAGTACAGTTTTCAAAATATGCTTTAACTGTGATATAATAATAGATGTGCTTCTTTGTACATTAAATAAGACCTCACATGGGGGGGGTCCATTTCAGACACCGTAATTTCGAAGTATCAAGCATAAATATTATCTTGAGCTCTACAACCGTTAAGTTGATATAAGAAGATCTGTGATTTCTCTTAGGAACAAAGTCACAGGTAATTCTAATAATACTACTATATAGTTTCTTCCCTACATTTGTGTCTGAAGGAAATACTAAATTGCAATTAGAGGCAATGAGAATGAAGGTGTAATTCTTTCCCATCTCAGAATTCAGCCTGCTGAATTCTACCCAGGGGGTTTTAGATTCCAGGGGGGTCTTCCTGGTCTGTCAATAGGACCATCACTGCCCTGCCTAAACTCTCAGCTTTCCATTGCCGCAAGAATAGAATGTCGACTCCTTAGCGGGCCCTCCCAGGCCCTTGGGCCCTTCACTCCTGCAGCATGCCCCTTCCTTCCTCCTCCCCTTCTCTCACCACCCTCCAGCCTTGGAGACCTTTTGCCTGGTCTTGAACTTGCCAACCTCATTTGCCCAGTTCACCCCTCTCCCTCTTGATCACAAGGCTCTTCCGTCTGACCCAACTGTTGTTAGGGCACCAATGCTCCAGCCTTCCCTGGCCAGCCCTGCTAATGGTCCCTCACCCCCAGCCCAGCATTAAGAAGAAAGAGCAAGCTCAAAATGGAGTCACTTGTGCTAAGTCACCAAACCAAGACTTAATGCCTAAGCTAATTTCAGTTTCAGCCTCTCCCAGGAACGTAAACTTGAATAAGTTAAGCTGGTTAACTTAGTCAGCACCAGTGAGGTGATCTGTCCATTCCACACCTTCTCACTTCCCTTAGAAGGGTGACCTTGCCCGAAACAATGCATTCTTTGCTAATTACTTCCTTTCTCTGCTCCCTTCTGCCTTTAAAAAATCTCCCACCTGCTCCCCATGGCATGCTGTTTCTGTTCAAGGACCCCAGTGGGAATGAACCCATAGCAGTCTCCTGCCTCTAAGACCCCTCCCTCGCACCCTGTCCCCTCTCTTTCCAGTGTCTCCTGGGATCACTTTGAACTGGAATCCTGGTCTCTGGGTCGGCTTTGGGAGGAACCCAGCGAGGGCCACACCTAAGCTACTAAAGAATAGTTAAGAAAATGTGTAGGTCTGTAAAGGTGGTTAAGTTTGGAAGAGCATCCATGTTTAGCCAGGTAAGGGGAAAGGGTAGCACTTCAGCTTTCATTTCCTCCTTCATTCATTCACTCATTCATTCATTTACTCGATCATTCAACAGACACCATCAGGCTGGCTGGGCGGCATGCTGCCTGAGCAGGAGTCAGGCTATCCTCTCTGGCAGGTGGACAATGCTGGTCACTAGCAACGTAGCCTCTGGCGTATGGCAGGGAGTGTCCATCTGACTTCTCCATGGCTCAGTGACTAGACCCTCAGTGTTACCCAAGTCCTCCAGAGTCGACTCCATGCTCTCTCAGCACTGCCCGGGAGAGCGGTTCTGTTCCCCAGGAGCCAGGACAATCAGAGGACATGCATGCATGACCCAGGACATCCTGGGTCCTGTTTTGGGGACGGGATAAACCTGAAAAGCACCCCCCGAGGACCAGTGTTGAAGAGTGGGGTCCTGTGACCAGGATGGAGCAGGAGAGATGTTTATTTGGAGATGCAGAAGTGAATCACGTGAACGGATGAGCATACATGGAATGTACTGAAGGCGGGAGAAAGAGCTTTTGTTCTTTTAAGTTCTTGACGGGAATGGGTTTATGAGAGAAGCCTAGAAATGTATTAACATAAGGTATGTGACACTGGAGACTTCATAAAGAAATGAAGACGCAAAGAAAGGGTTCAACCTGAGTGTTTTTATGCTCAGCTTAATGAGAAGTGGAAAGTCGGGGGAAAATATGGGAGGACAAAAGGTACGTGGTGAGTGTAGTGAACATGGGTGGAAACTTAGCAAAGCCTATTGGTTCAGGTTCCTCTCTGTCCCTGCATCTTTGGAGAGAAGTATCCTCCTCTCCTCTGGGCATAGAGAAGGAACCTCTCCCCACCTGCGTGTCTATGACCCACTTCAGGGGAGGGTCAGAGTCCTTCCTGTACCTGCCATTTCTGAAATCCCTTCAGCGTAAAGAAATTCAATATGCGAAGATGCTATATTTTGGGGCAGTGTGTCCTGAACCCCATCAGTACATACAATGGGAAACGATTCAGCCTCTAACAAGAAGGGCATTCTGACACCTGGTCCAACATGGTCGAACCTTGAGGGCATGGTGCTCAGTGAAACAAACCAGTCACAAATGGACAAATACCGCGTGATTCCACTCCTCTGAGGTCCCCAGAGGGACCAAACCCAGAGAAACGGAAAGTAAATTGGCGGATGCCAGGGGCTGTGGGGGAACAGAAGACGGAATATTTAATGGGGATGGGGCTTCCATTCTATGAGATGGAAAAGTTCTAAATGGATGTCAGTGATTGGTGACACACATGGTGAATGCCCTTAGTAGTGCCACTGAACTGTACATTTAAAAATTATTGAAATGGTGAATTTTATGTTCTGTATATTTTATTACAAAGAAGAAGAAGGAGAAGGAAGGGGAGGAGAAAGAGAAAAAGAGTGAATTACAGCCAGAGCTGGGAGACTGAGCCCAGGGCGGGGGCTGAGAGGTGACAGGAGGCTGACACAGCCCTGGTCAGAGTAGCCTAACTTGGCCATCGGTGGTTAGGAAACGTCAAGCATGAGTATGGAGGCAGAAGGGTCTGAAGCAAGCCAGGGGTGCTGAGGGGAAGACAATGCAAGGATCAGGGCACCTGCGTTGGTGGAGAAGCCAAGGCCTCCCTCAGGCTCAGTCTCCAGATTGGTATCTGGGTGAAGCATGCCTGCCCTTATGTTACCCAGCTTTGCAGGGAGGCGTTGAGTGGACTGAGCAAACACACCCAGAGCAGGCAACCCTGTGCTTCGGGTGCTATGGGGGAGAGAAACTCTGGAGCCCACAGAACGTACCTGCTCCCCTTCATGGAAGTCAGGGGACATAGAGTCGGTCCTCATTATTCATGTGGTTGTATCACTGAGAATTATGCTTATCATGCTCAACGAGTGACCTCTGAATCGTTGTTCCTATTGGAAATACGGGGTGAAGCTCCCGTGTGCCTCGTGTCACAGCACTTTTGTCAACCGATCAGTACATAACCTTCAGCTAGGTGTGTTTTCTGTTTAAAAACACCTTCCTCAATATATCTTGGTGACTCATTCACACTGAACCCACGGCCACCAGCACTGTGCCTGGATAATGCATATCTAACCCCGGTATTTTCTCTGTAAGGTGGACACAGCCTTCTTGCACTTCAGAACACCAGATAGCCTTTCAGTACTATGCGTGGGGCCATTTTATTTTTTAAAAGATTTTATTTATTTATTTATTTATTTATTTATTTATTTATTTATTTATTT